CGGTGGGGAGGGGTGTGAGGGAGAGGGGTGGGGTTTTTAGGGGGGGGGAAGAAGGGTGTTGTTACATTATGGCGGGAGCAGGCGGCATCAGAGCAGAGGCTGCAGGGGCAAACTTGATGCAGCTGACTAGCAGAGCGCAGCACCATGCGTATACGCCGAAGGCGCTGCCTGTGGTGTCAGTCAAGCAAGCAGGGTCGGAGCAAGGTGGCTGCCGCGTGCCCCTGCCTGCTGGCGCCGCTCACCCCTGGCCGTCGCTGTGGATGGAGCCGCCCTCCAGGTGCAGGGGGCACTCAAAGACAGGCAGGCCGTAGTGCTCCAGGACTGCGCGGCCGGCGGCATAGTCCTTGTCCCAGTTGGGCATCATGGCGGGGCGGCCGTCTGGAGGAGCAGGGAGGGGGGGGTGAAGGGCGGTGCGTGAGGAGCTGGGAGTTGCAGGGTGCGGAGAAGCCTAAACTAGAGGACATGTGTGGAAACAGGGGGCTGCGTTCAAGAACAGGTTGCCACCCAGATTGCGGGATTTTGCAGCAACCACCTGTGCACAAGCAATCACCCCTGAGCGGCCCTCCACAGCTGCCCCAACAAGACTGTCGCCTTGCAGAAGGCTGGCCCCCGGGTGACCTGGCTCCTGCCCTCACCCCTGATCTTGCCGGGGGCGCCGTAGCAGTCGTAGTCCCAGTGCACGCCCGCCACCTCGCGCTTGCCGGTCTCGGGGTTGGTGCGCGCGATGCAGGTGGGCCCCCAGTCGCGCAGCCAGCCGTCGTTGATGGGCATGGCCACCACGCTCACGTTGGGCGCGTCAGCCAGGTAGCCCCTGGCCTCCTCCACCACTGAGGGGTCGGCCCACATGGTCACGGGCTCGAACTGGGAGATGGTCTGGGGTGAGGGGGTGGGGGAGGGGCGCAGAAGGCAGGAAGTGAGGGATGAAAGGGGATGGGGTTGCAAGGTGTCAAGTAGGGCGGTGCAAACTTCAGCATACCGGGCAGCGAAGGGCAAGACCCATGTGGGCGCAGGAAGGAAGTGGTAGTGCTCAGAATAGGCGCGGACTGCACACCCAAATGCTACGCCCAACAGAGGCATCGTCGCAAGTCCTGCCAACGCTCATTGATCAACCCAAGCTGACCACCCTGA